CAAAGATTCTTTCGCCCAAATGCCCACACATTTCACCAGTACAAGACTAAAGTCTGCAATTAAATTCTGTTATTAAAGTGCTACGCAGTTTGAGAGGTTGACTGGGGCCCCAGAACTGCAAACTTCCTTCTGTGAAGCCCGCTTCAAAGAAAGCTCCTCAAGAAGGAAGAGGAGTCCCATGAAGGAGTCAATACATGTTTTCTAGCATAAGAGGGGTTAACCTGAGTTCACTGACAACTGACAAAAAGACAATGATTACCTACGTTAGTCTCCTGTTGCTGTTCTAACAAATGATTACACACTTAGTGGCTTGAAACAATATACAACGGCCCGCTTATAGTTCTGGAGATCAGAAGTCCAAAATCAGTTTCACTCAACTGAGATCAACGTGTCCCTCCAGATGCTCTAGGGGAGAGTCCATTTCCTGGCCTTTTCTAGCTTCTAGAGCTGTCTTCCCTGCATCCCTGCCTCTATCTTTGAAGCCAGTATCATAGCACCTTGCTTCAGTCATCACATGGCCACACTTCCATGTCAAAGCTCTCTCGGCCTCTTTTTGGGGCCGCGCCTGGCGGCATGTGGGGACCAGGGATTGAACCCACGGCCCCTGCAGTGGAAGTGCAGTCTTAACCACTGGACTGCCGGGGAAGTCCCTTGGCCTCCCCCTTTGAGAAGGACACCTGTGATTACATTTAGGCCCTAACCACATAATCCAGGATAAGCTCTCTGTCTCAAGATCCTCAATGGATTAACACGCCTGCCAAGTCCCTTGTGTCATAAAAGGAAACAGATTCCAGAGATCAGGATGTGGGTATCTTCGGGGGCTATTACTCAGCCTGCCACATTGCCTTCAACATGAAAATGCAGCTAGGAGCTCTAACAGACCCTTACAATGGTAATTCACTGATGTGTACGTGAAATCTTTGATCATTTTGTCTAGCTCTTTCAAAGGACACCCTGGTCTCCTCAGTCCCAGTACTTATGCTGTCGGTAGAGATGAGTGGCCTTGTCACCGTGGATTCTTCCAGAAAGCAAGGAAAGGTTTAAAGATCGACAGAGAAACGTCGAAAGGACTGGCCGAATTTGGGATATTTGAACATCAAAAAGAATGAGGAGGACCAGCACACACTGGCTGAGGTTAGTGACGCAGCCTGTTCCCGGGGCTGTCTCCTCCCTCGGAACCGGGCCGCCGTGGCTCCTCTCGGTGCTGGCTTCACAGCTTGGCCAACGCCCAAATCGGGTCTCAGAAAGACCTACACTTCAGTCAAGTCAGTCCCATTCATCTTCTTGTTTTAGTGTTCCTTTCCAAAGGCCCCGTCCCCTTGAGCAGGAACTTTAAGGGGTTTTTCAGTAAAACTGTACCACAGCTGCACTTCGGAACAGCATCTGGGCAGTCAGCCTGACACGAACCCTTCGCCCCCAGCCACCCATACGGTTCACTGTGAGCCGTGGTCCCACGGGGCAATCTCCCGGGCTCGGCCCTCCACCCACCCCTCTCTCCTGCATCCCCCCCCCACCTTCAGCAGCTGCCAACCCCCCAAACCCACTAGGCCTGCAGGTCTCCCATCACCCGCCTTTTCGCTCAACTGCCAATCCTCTTCCTCATTCGGCCTGGTCACTGGCATGGGAACAGGGTAATTACTGGTGTGGGCCAGGCCCTTTTTAACTCTCTCTGAGAAGATTCCTACAGTGATGATAATTCAACCCTTCGGCTTTGTGGTTACGCTCTCAGGACCATGTATTGGATTTTGTTAGTAAGGTCTGGATACTTGATTCCAAAAATGGCCTGGCTGGCCAGTAATCTTAGCCTATTGTTTCTCTCATTTAGTGAAAACCAAAAGAATAATTCAGTAGGTCAATAAACCAAGTAGAGATATTTACAACCAGAAGTGGAAACCTTCTCCCGGGTCCCAGACGCCTCATTATGTACTCGGGTCACAATAAAAATCCAGATGGGGCTGCAAGCCTGTTCTCAACACCTCTAGACATAATGGCCTTCTTGACTTCGACAAAAGGAATAAAGGCTGATCACAGTCCTAGCAGGAATATCATTTTTATCCTCAGAGAGTCTCTCTGTTCCTATGAACGAAAATGGCTGACTCTGCCCTATTTCTGAGGAGCAAATGTGCACAACAGAAAACCACCAGCATAGCTGCAATCTCAGTGGGAGGCCACCACAGAGAAAACCCAGCTAATTTTGGCAACTCATGGAAAAATACCTCATGTTTGTCTATGTACACATATGTGCATCCGGGTCTGGAACGGAGATGAGGGCCGGGGAGGCACGGAGGAAGAGGTGGAAAGGATGGGGGTAAAACGTGTGATGGGAAGAGAGAGTCTCCGTGACTAGGATGGCAGATGTGTACTATATAACCAGGCGAAGGGTCTGTGCATGGGTGGGCTTTCCATCTGTCATGTGAGCATACGAGAGGCAAGGGAACAGTACCGTACTAAATACATTCTCTCAGCATATTCAACAGGGGCACTGGTTCCCAAACCTGGCAGCCTACTGAAATCATCTGGGGAGCTTTAAAAAAGTACTGATGCTTGGGCAGAACAGCGCCCCCCACCCCCCACCCCAGAGACATCTACATCCCGGAACCTGAGAATGTTAGGTTGCACGGCCAAGGGGCATTAGGTTGCAGATGGATTAAGGTTGCTAAATCAGTCGACCTTAAATAGGAACACTATTCTGGATTATCCGGGTGAGCCGGACATAATCACAAAGGTCCTTAAAACAGGAAGAGGGAGACAAAAGCTAGAAGTCAGAGTGATGCCATGCGAGAAGGACTCAATCCACCGTTGCTGGCTTTGAAGGTGGAGAAGGGGGCCACAAGCCAAGGAATGCAGGCAGCCTCTAGACACTGGAAAAGGCAAGGAAATTAATTCTCCCCCACAGCCTCCAGAAAGGGATGCAGCCCTTCCAACACCTGGTTTTAGCCCAGTGAGACCCATAGCCGACTTCAGAGCTCCAGAACTATGAGGAGGGGGTTGCACTGCCTGAAGCCGCTAAGTTTGTGGTAATGCGTTACAGCAACAACAGAAAACCAGCTCAGGTATGGCCTGGGCTTTGGAGGCTGAGAAGGTCCTCAGGTGATTCTAATACGCAGCAAAGTATGGTGCTTACTGAACGAGATAAGGACGTGCCAGTGTGATTGCTTATGCAAGAAAATGCACGGAGACCTCATCAGGGAAGTCAGCAAGTCACCTCACCAAATAGGCACCATCCATCCTTGACCATGGACCACGGTTACTAGACATGGCTTATCTGAGCACATCACAGGATGGACGTGCTTTACCAGTGTGTGGCTAGCGTCCTTTCTAGACTGACCCACTCAACAGGCTAAATTTCCTTGGGATAAAGAACAATTATACCTCTGACAGGCAGATTTCCTACAGAGCTAATTTTCTTATGAATACTGTCTTTCAAGGAAGGAACTGGCCAATAACTGAGTTAGATGCAAGTACATGAATTAGTACATTCACATCAGCACCATCAGGAAAGGACTGAATTGTCCTCCTCTCTGTCCTTAAACCATTAAGAACCTCTATTAGGATGGTAAAGCTAGAGGGTTTCTCCATTTGCTTTGGTGATCTATTTATTTATGACAGATGGCAGATGGATAGTATTAACTTTTTATTCATTTATGACAGATGAATGGAATAGTACTGTGGCAACAGATGAACTCAGTCTTTGTAGAGATGAAGAAAAGTGGGACTTGTATAACCTGACAGGTGCAGTCCCGCTTTGGAGCGAGCACGTGCCCGCTCCCAGGGCTCCAATGCTCGCCCATACAGGGTAACCTTTCTTGAAAGCCGTTCCACCATAAGTCTCCATGATACTATGACCACAAGCTGAAACCTTTTACTTTTTACTTTTCTCTCCCCATTTTGTCTTCCTTAGAGAGGAAGCTAGTGTGAAATTTCATTTCTATCGCTTACAACTTAGGTGACTTTACGGGGTCCCTCAGCCACTCTGGGCTTCACCTCTGACAAACAGCAATAACATCACCTTCACAGTGCTATGCGCTGATTAAATGAAACGGCACAGATTAAAGGGCTTAGCACCTAGTAGGGGCCTTCGATAAACGCTTGCCTCGCTGAAACTCAACTATTCCTCTGCTTCCACCCAGCACCTCGCTGCTGAAGCTGCTCACATCTCTTCCCTTTGGTCCCGTCCTCTCGCCGAGCTCTAGTACCTTATCTCCCACTGTCCACTCGACGCTGTGACTCAGATTCCTCACTGGCATCTCCCATTGGACGGGACCAAACCGGACTTAGGATCTCCACTCACAAACCGGCGACCCCCCTTCTCCCCCATTCCCCTGACAGGGTCCATGCGGTAAAAGCACCATCAGTCCCCTGCCTCCATCCGCTCTTTTCCACTCCTACTGCTGCATCTTCCATTCATGCCCCTGTACCCTCAACCGCATACCTCAAGCACAAGAGCCTTCTGGGTAGGCTCCTGACTAAAAGCTCTGTCTCTCCCAAGCCATCCTGCTTGTGGGTTTGCAAACTAATCTTTCTCCAGCCAGGTTTGTCACATCAAGCCCTGAATAAAAAAATCTTCAAGTATTTTTTTTGCCCTGCAGCCTGGTATTTATGACAGAAGAGGAGCCAACGCCCCCCACCCCCACCCCGACGTGTAGAGGACAACTCAGTGTGCCCTGCCTCTGCGCTTGTGTACGACGCACTGAGCCACTTCACCCCGTGACCACATAAGGAGAGCCCACAGGATAAACAGATCACAAAACAAAGCATGTTTAAAAGCAGCTACAGAAAACTGGACATCTTTTAACCGAATTTCTTTTCCTAGTGTTTAGTAACTACAATCTAAATGTGCCACAAACCACCCTCAATTGCATTAAACCATCGATGTAAAAATCCATTGTTGTTCAACTACTTCAGGTGTTTTGTAATATTAAAATCATTCAACAATTAGACAAAAGGCTTCAGCATTTATATTAAATGGCAAATCTGGGCAATTTCAGACGTGTTCTTACCATTTTGTTCATTCAGTTCATTCCCAATTTCCTGCCCCATTTGTTTCTGGAGACTTATGATGGAGGAAAGGGCATCAAGGCCTGCGTCCTGTTCTGAAAGAAAAAGCGAGACAGTTAACTCACTAAAAACCAAAGGAAAACAGTTTAAAGTCTAGAAAGAGACACAATTCAATATATGATCAAAGTAACATTTGAAATCAGTCAGGAAAAGAGAAAATAGTTAACATTATTGGAACAATTGGAACAAAATTAAAAAGTTAAACACTTATAACCCTCAGACCTTAAACTAAAATGATTTCCAGATGAATTACATTTTAAACATTACAAATGAATATAAGATTTGACTATATAACCAGTTAAACATTCTGATACTTGATATATAAAGAGCATGTACAAATCAATAAGACAATCTTCCAATTTTTTAAATGGGCAAAGGATATAGATAGGAAACGCCCAAAAGAATAAAAAAGGAAAAAGCTCTGACATCGCTAATTTTTTAAAAATATCAACAAAAAACAATACTGAGGTTTTTTTCCCTGACTTATCAGATTTGTAAGCATCAAAAAGAATGCTAACACCCAGGGTTAAGTAAAGTGTGAAGAAGCTCTAAGTGCTAAGTCACAGGAGAATAGTTAACACATCTTTCTAGAGAGCAAATCATGCCTACCTCTTGATCAATTCTATGTCTAGGAAATGTGTGCAACAAAACATCTGGATGGCATGCCATGATGTATATATAAGGATACTCCTTGAAACACTGCTTCCTTTGCCGCTTTTCAATTTATCATCTCTCAGCTCTCACCCTTTTTTGACTGCTCTGTGAAAATGGATCTGGGTCCTTTAAATAATTTTTCCTTTGCCAGCTTTGGCGGTGCAGGAGACTGCAGAGATACTGCAGGGGAAACGGGTTTTGCTTCCTGGCTCCAGTGCCCTCCTGACAGACTCCTGCCATACTGGCAGCTCCTTTGGTGTGCAGTGGCCAGCAGCACCCCAAGGCCAGCAACGTCTCCCAACACACCCCCTCCTTGGGCAGTTTTGGAATACAGTGCCTCCAGTTAGACGCCTCCCTGTGCACTGTATTCCCTAGTACCCTAAGGACCGATCTCCAGGCAGTGCCGCCAGCTCGGCACCACAGCGACTTCTCTGAAATCCAGTGAACCCCAGCTGTGCCCTCTTCTACCTGATCTGCACCTCAACCCTGGGGGTACTGCTGTGGGCGCTCTGTCTCCACAGGGGAGTGGCTACACCTTCTACCTGCTATTTCTGTCTCTTTACTTCCTGCTGGCTAACCCCTCATTACTCTAACCCCGTTATAGTTAGTAATTTCGTACACTACATTTTCCACGTTCAAATTTCTTTCTCCTGATTGGACCCAGATGGATACACTTATAATAGTGAAAAATTAGAAACAACCTAATGCCCAAACACAGGGATTTGTTTAAAAACGGAGTATAGGGACTTCCCTGGCAGTCCAGTGGTTAGGACTCTGCGCTTCCACTGCCGGGGGGCCTGGGTTCAATCACTGATCGGGGAACTAAGATCCCACTAAGCCATGCAGTGAGGCCAAAACAAACAAGCAAACAGAGAGTACAGCCATAGACTGAAACACTATATGGCCGTGAAAAGTGATATTGTACAGCTATATTTTGATTTCAAAAGAAGTTCATGATGTTATTGGGTTTAAAAAAAAGCAGAATACAAAACAATGTATAGTAAAATGGTACTTTTGCTTTTAAAAAATGTGTTACCTTTCTAAATTTTTGAAAATTTAAAGAGAAAAGAACTCAAGTTACTCAAGATCATTAAAAAAAATTTTTTTTTAACTCTAGACAGTCCCAGTCTCTTTATAAATACTTTTTCCCTTTGCTTGCAGGTGCATTAGAAAGAACATTCGAAGGCTGAGTCTAACAACTCTTTCCACCAAGCACTCTGCTGGGTGAGGGTAACATGCCAATTCGTGGCTCCACTTGTTGATGGGTTTTTTTTTTAAATGTCTGTTTCACATGAAGGGCTATCTACAAAAGCAGAAATCATAAAGGTCTTCTTGCCCCGGATCACATTAACATCTCCTTATATAGTTTTTCCTAGTCTTTTTATGGAATTAAGCCGTTACACAACTTGTTAATTCATCTGGAATTTATTTAAACTAATGGTGTGTGGTAAGGACCCCTTAGTAACGATTTTTGACACTACATGCTCTTTTAACTGTACAAATGACCTGCTGTCTCTAGGGATCATTCCAAGGGACCATCTTATAGCAAAATCACTTTATAATGAGGTCCTTTTGGTCTTCAGTAACAACCTCTTGGATGGCCTCCAAGAAAAATCTATCATCAACCTAGTGCTGCTATAGGATGACCGATGTTACAGTAAAATTCCAAATGCATCCCCCAAATAAACTATATATATTGTAGAACTGAGGGTCAAGTGTCAATGCGAATTAAAAGGTAAAACAATATAAAAAGAGAAAAGGAGATTCCTCTATGGTTTTCAATTAGGAAAAAAATCATTAAAGTCCTGAAGTTGCTTTACCTAGTACAGACATAGATTATGAATGAAAAATACCTATGTTACACTCTTCACTTAACCTTGACTCATTATCTGCCTTACTACCTAACGGTTATCTTGCTAATGCAAAACAGAAAGAGGGCTAAACATTCTGCTCTACTCAAATCATTTCTATAAGAACTTACTACCTCCTCACTATGTTTATAGTGCTACAATAAATTTTCATCCTATAATTCAGAAACACAGAAGGTCCAGATAACAGAGATGCTGTGTATGTAATAATATTGATGACTTGAGCTTCTACAAGTCTTTAAATTTTTATTGCAGTATAGTTGATTTATAATGTTTAGTTTTTGTTGTACAGCAAAGTGAATCAGTTATGCATATACATATATCTACTCCTTTCTAGAATTTTTTTTTTTTTTTTTTTTTGCGGTATGCAGGCCTCTCACTGTCGTGGCCTCTCCCGTCGCGGAGCACAGGCTCCGGACGCGCAGGCTCAGCGGCCATGGCTCACGGGCCCAGCTGCTCCGCGGCATGTGGGATCTTCCCGGACCGGGGCACGAACCCGTGTCCCCTGCATCGGCAGGCGGACTTCTCAACCACTGCGCCACCAGGGAAGCCCCTTTTTAGATTTTTCCCATATAGGTCATTACAGAGTATTGAGTAGAGTTCCCTTTGCCATACAGTAGGTTGTTATTAGCTATCTATTTTATATACAGTAGTGTGTATATGTCAATCCCAGTCTCCCAATTTATCGCTCCCTTTCCCCCTTGGTAACCATAAATTTGTTACAGTTTGTTATCTGTGACTATTTGTTTTGTAAATAAGCTCATTTGTACCATTTTCTGAGCTTCTACAAGTCTTAAAGCAGCATTTCTAAGGGGAGGCAGTGTGGTCATCTTAGAGCCAGTGAACCAAATAAAATGCTGCTACGTGCAAAAATATCAACGATTATCAAGACCCATGCAGACAGCCACCCAGAACCATGTAAAACTACTACGATGTTGTAATCACAGCTCATTACTATAATCCTACCTTATCGATACCCTAAATCATTATGATATCACAACAGATCATTGGCAACATACCATACTATTAATCATTCTTCAATTTTATAATGGTATTGACTTTAAAAACCGGATGACCACTGCGCTACATAGAATAACGGCCCCTAAAGACGTCCACATCCCAATCCCGGGAACCTGTGAATAGATGACCTCACATGGCAAAAGAAACCCTGCAGATGTGATTAAGGGGAAGGAATTGGAGATGGGAGAGGACTCTGGATTATCCAGGTGGGCCCAGTTTAATCACATGAGTCCTTAAAAACAGAATCTTTCCCAGCTGTGGTCAGAGGGAGGCATGAAGAAGGGTCAGAGAGATGAAACTTGCTGGCACTGAAGACTAAAGAAGGTGTCCAGGAGTCAAGAGATGTGGGTAGACTCTAAAAGCTGGAAAAGGCAAGGGAATGAATCCTCCCCTGGAGCCTCCAGAAGAGAACCCAGCCCTGCCAACACCTTGATCGTAGCCCAGTAGCATCTGTACGGAACTTCTGAGCTACAGAACTATAAGATAATAAACTTGTATTTTAAGTCCCTAAGTCTGTGCTAATTTATTATAGCAGCAGTAGAAAACCAATACAAACATTTTTTGAAAAATTGCTTCAGAATAGTTAGGTGTTTGACTACTTCCTATCTTAAGACATGCAGAAAAACCATCTTCTAACTAAATACCATGTAACTGTGGGAGGACAATCTGGTGGCTGTAGATTAAAAATAAAGGGACAGTCATCATAATGTATTCTTGTCCAAAGTAACAGACGTCATTCTGATCAAGCCACTAAATCTAACTACCAATTTACAGAAAATATGTGGGACAGAGGGACACATTAAACAATGCGTGTGGATACAAACAGCAAATCTAGATAGTGGGAAACTATAAGGCAAATACCCTTGTTTTGTCAACAAAGAAACAGCAAAGAAAAAAAAAGTTGGCAAAGGCACCTACCTACTAAAGAAAATTAAGGGGGGCTTCCCTGGTGGCGCAGTGGTTGAGAGTCCGCCTGCCGATGCAGGGGACACGGGTTCGGGCCCCGGTCTGGGAAGATCCCACATGCCGCGGAGCGGCTGGGCCCTTGAGCCATGGCCGCTGAGCCTGCGCGTCCGGAGCCTGTGCTCCGCAACGGGAGAGGCCACAGCAGTGAGAGGCCCACGTACCGCAAAAAAAAAAAAAAAAAAAAAAAAAAGAAACTTAAGGGACACAACAATTAGTTGCAATGTACAGACCATATTCAGATCCTGAATTGAACAACCTGAAAAAAAGCCCATCATGGGACAATCAGGGAAATCAAATATCCAGTCGGTGTTCAGATTAAGAATTGTTAGCTTATTAAGGGTAATAATGCATGGTGGTTATGTTTTTGTTTTTTAAAAACAGTCCTTATCTTTTGCAGACATGCTTTAGAGTTATATTCTGGAATATTCACCAATGAGATTGTACAATGTCTAGGATTTGCTTCAAAAACAATCCAGGGATGGGTAGGTGGGTAGACATATAGATGAAACGAGATGGGCTATGGGTTG